GTGTGTATGGCGCTATTTGCTCTGTTCATGGTTCTTGAGACGTTTTATGGTTCCGGGGCATTTTGCAGGGACATCGACTTGTTTCCACACCTGATTAAGAGCAATTGCTTAAATAAGTAAACAGGTTGATTGACAACAATTGCGATCATTATCATTTGTAAGCATCCAGTGCCGCTTATCTCGGCAGGCAAACAACAATGCCGCACATCGGGCTTATGTGGACTAGGCCGAGTCCCATTTTCGGCAACTTTATTCGTTCTTCTCGGCAAGTTACCGCGTAGTAGTAGCGAATCGCGATAAAGGCGATTGCCTGTTAAGGTGCTCTTTGCGTCAGGTGAACCTTGTGATTAGTTACGCAACTTTGCAGGTAATCTGGACCAGATTTTGGATCCGAAATTCACACTTAGCGACTACCAAATCACCGAAATCTACGTGGTGGCCAAAGGCACCACGAACTTGAACCAGGCCTTTTCCGCTGCCGACATCATGGTGCTGCGGAAAGAAGAAGAGCGCAAGCAGATGCACAACAAGGCCGGAGGCGGCGTCTTCAATCTCATCTTCAAGCGGGGAAAATCGGTAGGTGTCCACGTGCACAAAGAGAATGTTTTTTCAAGCGTGTTGGTTTGCTTAGAGCATGGGTTCCGGCTCGGTATCCAGCGACAATCGATCGATTTCGCCCACTCAAAGCGACGACTCCCGATCGGTGACTCCACCGGTGGTTCAGCCGCCCCCCGAGCGGCCGAAGCCGCCCCAAAGGAAAAGGCGGCCCGCGCCCAAGCCGCCCCAGGCGCCCGAGGCCTCTTCCACCAAGAAAACAATCGACAACGGACTGACTATCTGCCATTCCCGGAATAGCAGCGATAGTTCCGGTTACCACGAGGCGTCTATTTTGAGCGACCATTGCGCCAACGCCTCCCTGCCCAGAATGCGCCCCAAGTCCGCCTTTGTGGGCGATTTGGTGACTGCTCAGGGTTCCTCCAACTTGAACACGATGGTTCCACATTCCCGCTCTACTACCAGCTTAGTAACAGGTGAGCCCGGTTTAAGCCCCCGCTTAGCGGGTTTAAACTACCGATTTAATTGCGGGCGTTTGGAAGCAGGATTTAGACGGTAAAATTTAAAAGTTGTTGATCCTTGGGCGTTGCCTTCTTCCTCCACCCATTAATGGGAGAAGTAACATCAAAGTCCGGCCATCTTACCGAAAGGTTTTGGACAATTTGGTGGATGCTTCTGGACTTTTCCGAGCAGTTAGGGACTTATTAGGCATAGGGACGGGACATAGATTCTATAACATCGAAAGGTAATATCGATGTTAAGGAAACATCGATGTTCTGATAGTTTGCCGTTGCATACAAATTTCAAATTGATTACCTTAAACTGAAATATATATTTTTATTTTACTACTACCATGACAGTTTAAAACGATGCTTTGGTAAATAATCGAATAAATTTATTGAACTTATAGTTGCCACGTTTTTCGGCCAACTGACTGCAAAAAGAGGCTTTTTTCGGGTGTAGCTGAAAATGGGCCGCCAAGCCGCGGTATCGTTTGTATCGGCACTATCAAAGAGTTCGCAGAAAATATTTCTATCTAGTATGAACATCAAATGTCCGATGTTTTTATTTCAAGATCTAACATCGATGTTTGATCGATGTTCCAAATTTCCAATATCGATGATAAAAATATCGAACATCGAACGAATTACATTGATGTTTGCGAAACATCGATGTTTTTCTCCCATCTCTAGGCATAGGGATGAGACATCGACCCTATAACATCGATGGTAGACATCGAAAGGTAATATCGATGGTAGCCATCGATGTTGACATCGAAAGGTAATATCGATGTTAGGGAAACATCGAAGGCAGTTTGACAACATCGATGTTCTGATCGAGTTTGCAGTTGCATACAAATTTCAAATTGATTAACTTAACTTTAATAATTTTAAATCAAAATCAATTCCTGGGCTTCAGTCATTTATTGTCTAATTATAAATTAAAATACGTTTCGGTGTTTTCCACCATCAGTTTTTATGTGTATCGTTGTTGCTACTTTAAGCCTTGGCATATATTTGGAGTATTACATATACTCCAAATATATGTTAGGGAAACATCGAAAACAGAACATCGATGTTTGACAAAATCGATGTTCTGTTCTGACAGTTTGCCAAATTTCAAATTGATTAACTTAAACTTAAATTATTTTATTTTACTACTGCTATGACATTAAATATTCGACTAAATTTATTCAACTTATAGTTGCCGCATTTTTCGGTCAATTGACTGCAAAAGAGGCTTTTTTCGGTGCAGCTGGAAATGGGCCTCTATGCCGCGGTATCGTTTGTATCGGCACTATCAAAGAGTTCGCAGAAAATGTTTCTATCTAGTATCAAATATCCGATGTTTTTATTC